ATATTGAATCTTACTAACCAAACATCCTTTAAAAATAGAAGTAAGATAAATGTGGACTGCTAGACAGTGACAAACTGTACAACTTAATATCAAAATTGATCATTAAGAAAGTAATTTAAACATAGCACCGTTTCAAAACTTCCAATCCTTATTTTTAGTCCTGTCTACAGAAATCTATAAACTAAACACAAGGTAGCGCGGCAACTATATATAATATATATATATATATAGAGAGAGAGAGAGAGAGAGAGATAGCTATTAAATTTAAAGCAAAAGTTGTATTTCCGTATGTAACTTAAAATTAAAATAGAAAATATCACACATGTCATTTCAATCTGTAACTCCTCTTTCACAAATTAATTTGTTTATTTTTCTCAAGGTGAAATAACTCTCGTGGGCTCAACCGCTTATGTTTTATATTATGTGTTATTCTGTTACTTGCAGCAGGAATACGTGAATATATTACTATTAACAATTAGAATTAGTTATACTGTCTGAATTAATGGTAAGGTAACCATTAAAGCAGGAATTTGGTTTAAATTAACATTTAGGATAATATAATATTCTTCTTCGTTGTAATATACAATCAAACTACAAAAGCCATCCAGTGGCATAGCTGTATATCTGCGGACTTACAACGCTAGAAATCGGGTTTCGATACCCGTGGTGGGCAGATAGCCCTTTGTGTATTTTTGTGCTTAGCTACAAACAAACAAAAACTATTAAAATACCGCGTTTGAAAGTACTTATTGCAAATCATTCTAAGCCTACTTTATATTCACCAGTAAAGTGTTTACGCTTGTGTTGCTGAAGTGATAACGTTATTTGTCACAATTGCTGCTAATTGGTTTCTTAGTACGTAAAATATTCAGTCATATTAATGTATCCGTCTGAGAACAAAAAGCCTTTTGAGCGCCTTAAAGTAAGGTGATCTTGTTTCTTGCGTGATGATTGATCTTGACTAGCTCCAGATCACAGAACATGGAAAGGCAATAAGTCACCACCCAACCTCAAGGTTGCCACGATACATAGCTTTGCACAGAGTTGCTGTATACAGTTTTTTTGCTACTGAGCACTTTCAGAATCCAAGGTGTTTTTTTTTGTTTTGTTTTGTTTTTTTGCATTTGGTTGAAATTGTTGACTTCTAATTTACAGTCAATTCATTGAAGCAAAAGTGATCAACTATAGGACCCAAAACTGAGCGGCGGACTTTTAACTTTCGAATGAAATTACGAATATTTAATTGTTGTTTTTTTGGTCGTCTTAATGAATATATAATAATACATATATAATAATTTTATTACTCAAAATTGATGACAACATCGTTCATTTTCTGATTGTAACCTGTAGTTCTACCTTGTGGTTTCTCTCGTAAAGAAAAGAAAAGATTTGAATCGCGATTCGTGAAAAGTGCATTCATGTTCATATTTTTATGATCAGTTTTTATAGGAGTTTAGTTCTTGGTTTTTCACAGTTGAGTACTAACAACCAGTCCTGGTTAAAATGGATAACATCCTTTGTATTTGCTGGATGTAGAAGCACTACGTATTTTGAACACTCCCGCTGCAGGTTAAAAATCATAATATAGAATTTCGATAAAACAATGTTCTGGGGATGTTGTAGAGATACCACACAAAGTGGGCGTGAGCAACATTATAAACTCAGTTGTGCTTTTGAAGTCTTTAATGAAGTAATGATAGAATAGGCTGTACCTGCTTAGCTGTCCTTCGGCGTTGTGTGATATACGTGTAAAACACTGGAAAATTGGAATAGATTGACCAGCTTTCACAGAATAATTGTACAATAAACTGACTTTTCACTAACGTAAACAACTAATATGCTTATCAGGTCCCGATTAGCACGTACTCTTTGGATCTAATTTAAACTATTTCAGCATGTCTTCGGAGCCATTATTATATTAAAAATAGGCTTAAGGATTTATTCGCATTTAGAGCTTTAAGGTTCGTTTGTTTGTTTGTTTGTAGTTATGCACAAAGCTACACAATGGGCTATCTGTGCTCTGCCCACCACGGGTATCGAAACCCGGTTTCTAGCGTTGTAAGTCCGCAGACATACCGCTGTGCCACTGAGGGGCCGGCCTTTAAGTTTCAATAATCTTTTTTTTTTTTTAATCTCCTCTGAAAGGGATTTTTATACAAGAATGACGCTAGGTATAATAAACTAGAACATTCCAGATAAATTCTTCTTTGTCATGTGTCTTTCTGCTTATTATCTACTTTCTAACACCATATTTGATTTGCGCGGAATTTTTTTGTTTTGAATATCAGAGAAACAAAGTAAGTATTTTTGTGTTTAAAGAAATATTTTGTGTTTAATTAACACATTTTCATCTCACTAAAACTTTAATGCTTCATCTGTCAAGTATTGCTTTTTTTCACTTATAAAGCTTGTCAAATAATATTTTGTTGAAAATTTAAAAAATTACCGAGACTTATTGGAAACTATATGGGTAAACATATGCGAGCTTGGGCCTAGCGTGTCTTTCAATTTACAGCAAACTGTCAGTAAGTTGTAACCTTAGTTATCCTGACCTCCTGGTACAGCAGAGCAAGGAGCGCTGTAAATGATACTCAGACTTGTAGTAGCCAGATGGAAGGTTTGGGTTTAACACATTATGTTTGTTTAATATAACACTCTACTTGTAACTTGGTGCAGAGCTCTAAATACACAAGAAGAACAGAGGCGATGAGTGCCAGTTGCCAACCCCCAGCAGAGTAGCCGAGAAACAGTCCTGCAATTTGTTAGTTACGTTGAAAGACGCTTCTCAGTTCCACTTTGACGAAATCGACATAGGAGTTATGTAAAGTTTGAGAAAACAAACGATAATATTGTCAGTACCAAAGGTGACTTTCTAGCCGGTACGCAAATTATTTTAGAGGCGGTACTAAGTACCGATCGGCATGAAAGGTTGTGTACCAAATTATAAGATATTAAATTTAATAATTAAGTGAAATTTTGATAACGTTTACTATTCTGAAATTTTAAAACTGTTTTAAAAATCCCGGGAGGTGTGGATTTATGTGCTGCTGATATACTGAGTAAAGGCATAAAATTTACCAGAAATTCAACCTTGGTCGGTACATTTTTATGTTATAAATAGCTCCCCATGTCCTGCTGATATACTGAGTACAGGCATAAAATTTACCAGAAATTCAACCTTGGTCGGTACATTTTTATGTTATAAATAGCTCCCCATGTGCTGCTGATATACTGACTACAGGCATAAAATTTACCAGAAATTCAACCTTGCTCGGTTATAAATAGCTCCCCAAATGTTTTTTAAAAGTTACTGAGTTAAGTTTTATCTATCATTCTTCATAATCTACTCTTTACCATACTTAATTAATACGACTGTCTAATTATATATATTAATATCTACTGCCAAATTTCGCTCTTTGAGTTTTAATATTTGAACTTCACAGTACTGTGTGTTAACTGCTACCCGGTATTGTACGAATTCTGATAAAACACTGATTACTGAGTACTTAGGATTGTTCGACATCACACATTTAAAATGTTTATGAACCAGTGAAATCAGCCATTTCAAAGGCTGATCGAAAGCGAAATAAATTAATGATTAGTTACTATAGTTGAATTGGCCACATATCCCTGAGCACACGATAGTCGAACTTACAATTAAACATTTGTGGTTTTTCAATTTCTTTGTTTATTTAGTCTTAGCGCAAACCTACATAATGAGATATCTGCGCTCTATCCATCAAGGGGAATCAAATCCCGGAATTTTGCATCGTAAATACTTAAACTTACCGCTATTAATTGAAGTGGACAAGTATACTGTTGATCTGGATGCTATTAGAAAATTGCATCGTGCAAGTATTGAATTATTGGTGTATAGTTGTCAGTTTAGAGTTAATCAGCCTTTGTAGTTGTCAGTTTTAAATTGATCAGCTGCTACGTGCAGTCAAAAGACTTAACGTTGATCATTTATTGGTTCAGTACAAACATATATAAGTAGTTGGTACTTTCATTTAAGGTACATAACACACAACAAATACAAGAATAGTGAATGTATATATTCCATATCCCATCGATTAATGTAAGTTTTTACAAAGATAGTGTACTTGTATATTCCATATCCTATCGATTAATATAAGTTTTTACAAGGATAGTGAATGTGTATATTCCATATCTTATTGATTAATGTAAGTTTTACAAGGATAGTGTATGTGTATCTTCCATATCCTATCGATAAATGTAAGTTTTTACAAGGATGGTGTATGTGTATATTCCATATCCTATCGATTAATGTAAGTTTTACAAGGATAGTGTACTTGTATATTCCATATCTTATCGATTAATGTAAGTTTTTACAAGGATGGTGTATGTGTATATTCCATATCCTATCGATTAATGTAAGTTTTTACAAGGATGGTGTACTTGTATATTCCATATCCTATCGATTAATGTAAGTTTTTACAAGGATGGTGTACTTGTATATTCCATATCCTATCGATTAATGTAAGTTTTTAAAAGGATAGTGTACTTGTATCTTCCATATCCTATCGATTAATGTAAGTTTTTACAAGGATAGTGTATGTGTATATTCCATATCCTATCGATTAATATAAGTTTTTACAAGGATAGTGAATGTGTATATTCCATATCTTATTGATTAATGTAAGTTTTACAAGGATAGTGTATGTGTATCTTCCATATCCTATCGATAAATGTAAGTTTTCACAAACAGTATGGTAAACAATGTTGTCATTATTGATTTTCATATAAACTCCTTAGTTTTAAGCATAAAATTACAGTGAACATACTTTGATGCTTGTATGTTGTTTCATTGTTACATTTAATCAATTATGTACGCCTCTATTATGATATGGTATGTTAATTTATTTTTGTAACAAATAAAGTGTTTGATATCACTTATATTTTAGTTATTATTTTGTGATTTCTTACAGAGTGAAAGACGTGATTCTAACCCGTATTTTTGTTTTTCTTCCTTTCTTTAGGAATGTTCTGCTGACCAGTAAGCAAAACAAAAATGATGCGAGAAACTCGTTTGCAACTTAAGTTCCTGATTTTCTGTTTACTGGTAGGGTTAATAGTGAGTCGCCGCGGAGGTGAGTGTACACACTCTTTCAATTTTCTCTACATTTCGTCTTATTTTACTTCCTTAGAATACTCCAAATGATAGTAACTTAATTTATATTTTGCTGAGTACATGATCGAATTTGAGTACATGATTATTGTTAATCTTTAGAATTACCGAAAAGAGCTTTGTGAACAATCTGCGCTGTTCTGTTAACTGTTTTAAAATATATATACCAACAAAACATTCTAAGTTATTTTTATTTAAATTTCCAAGTTTTATTGTGAAGCATTAAAGGATAGCCTTTAATACATTGGGTAACTTAGTGGATCAAAGTGAATTTAAATTTACACGAACTATTTTGTAATTTACATATAATTACGTACATTACACGCATCCATTCTTAAGTATGGGAAAGGATTGGCCAAAAGATGAGTTGATAATGTTTCTCAACAAGTATATCTCGAATATGAAGATAAAAATAAATAACAACTCACAAACAGCTATGTTCGATAAAGATATATTAGACACACTGATTGAACTTCTTTGGTCGACCATTGACTTGAGGTAATACAAAAAATAAAACTGATTGATCTTTTAGCAAATATAAAGAAGGTAGAGGTTATTATCCGAGCTAACAGTCTTTTAGAAGTTTTCAAAATTAACGATGGCAAAGGTTTTTATTGAACAATCCTTGAGAGGGCGTGATTTCAAACGGTTTAATCCACATGTTATTATACAGTTGGTATAATAGATAAGAAGCGCTCACTTCCGAACAAAGAGGTCATCAACGCGATAAATATATAACTAATCAAGATCAAAACAAAAGCGCTTTCGTAAAATCAACTAATGAGCGGTCCTCCGAACTGGCAGAAAATATTTTTTAATAGCTGTTGATAAGCTGGTGTCAAAATATTTGTAAATCTGTTGTTTTTTTTCAAGACATGGTTGTGTGAATTTGTAAATTTTTCTCGTTCTCTATTCTTCTTTCGTCTGAAGACTAGAATAAAGGATGATGTTTAGTTTCTGGAAACATTTTCATAATAAATAGTAAATTTCTAAACTTTGATTATTTTAACAAAATGGCGTAAGCGCGCTAACACAGAACATTCCTGAATTGTTTTAAAATGATATCGAGTGGTTTGAGTTCGATGCATTTTCTTGAATGTTTGCTAATTATGGCGTAATAATTCTTATATCTTACCAATTAAATATTCAGTGACTTTTGTGTCAATGAAGTTAAATCGCCGTACCTCGTGTTGCAAGATACTGATCTAATCTTTCTTGGAATATTTTGTCGAAATATGTTTCGTTTCGTAGTTAAATAGTCTATTAAGAGCTCTTTATGGACCAAGTTTGTGTTCTAATGTATTATAAACAAGCATACGATAGTGTATTGATTTTTTATTTTATGTTCACACTAAATACCCATCCGAATCATATAGAATAAGATCTGAGACACAAATATAACCCATGCATATAGTATGTAAGGAAAATATAACCCATGCATATAATATTTAAGGAAAATATAACCCATGCATATAGTATGTAAGGAAAATATAACCCATGCATATAGTATGTAAGGAAAATATTTTTTATCCTGTATGCATTTGATTCCAATATACTTTCATTACATGCTACACTTAAAATTAACTTTTGGAGATGTCGATGCATAAGAGTGTTTGAGCACATTGGTCTGTAAAATGTTTACAGAAACTATGAGATAATACTCCTTTAAAGAAAAACAGACCGAAACTGTTTCCGCGAATAATAGGTTTTGGTATGAGGCATTTCAAGGCTCCTCTCTTCACGCACTATCACTCTTGGTATATGGGGGTTATGGCCAGCTGTTAGTTTATGTCTGACCTAATCTGTAGTCAGCCCGCGTTTTCCTTCACACATATGCATTGGATATTTTTGGGATTTTTTTTTCTTTTTGCTGAAGAAAAAAAAATAATTCGATATCGATTCAGGACTATATCTCCGAGTTACCTAAGCTAAGAAATTGGCTTCTTCGGCTCTGGACAATGAAGAATAGAGCATAAAATAGCGCTTAGGTGAGAGTATTAGCTTGGCTTCAATTCGTATCCAGCCAACCTTAAATCTCCACCAGAACGGATATATAGATATATATATATACAGTTTTCGTAAGGTTCATTTGGCAGGAGTGATCATCCCAATGTCGCATTTCTGGAGATTTCGGGAATCTGGTGTATCACATCACACATCAACGGAAGGTAGTATTTTGTGCATTCGAAAGATAAAAATGTCAAAGTGTTCAAACTGAAGTAAATCTCTACTATGATATAATTTAAATTCTATTAAACTCATGTATGATATTCATATTCTCTACTATGGTATAATTTGAATTATATTAGGCTGGTGTATCATACTCGTAGTCACTACTGTTTTCAAGTTTAAGAAGTTTATATATCGTATTCGCTACCAAGTTACATTTTCTTAAGTTTATGTATTGTACTTGAATCGTTATAAACTATAACTCATATTAATCCAAAGTAGCATACTCATAATATATCAAGTTTAAGGTCTGTTATGCTTGAATGTATTTTATTCGTAATTCCTACTGTTAATATTTTGCTTCGTTTCTAGTTCTGATTTTCAATAAACATAATTTTATTTGCTATCTATACCATACTTTGCATCAAGAAAAGAACAGGATCTCCACATTGAGATTATACAATGTGTTGTTAAGAAGCGAGTTTCATATCACAGATCTGGCCAAGGTTTCTACTTTATATTGATACCACTCTTGTTAGGTTTTTTTACCGAAATTGTTTGTTTGTTTGTTTTTGTTAATT